GTGGCACCAACCGACAGGAAAAATAGTTAGATTTCCCTCCAACTAAAACGTTTTTCTATCAATCGATAAAGAAAACTAATTCGATCCAACGAATAATCAAAGATCGAGTCAAGACTGAAGAACGGCGAGATTCCACAAAGGGATCCCAGTGATTAATTAACCGCGATGAATACTTGGCGAGGACGCATTCGCCGAGCGAATAGGTCAAAAGGTTTTGTACCTTTAACGAAATTCGAGGCACCGATGGTTTTAACCGGAACTGCGCGCTTTTACGACGCACTTCGGACCTCTCGTTAAACTTTGAGGACGAAAGAGTTTTCGTTTTATTGCCATGGGTCAGAGGTAATCTCGACGCGTTTCAAAGTGTCGTACTTGGAGTTATTATATCGGCCGTTCCTTTAAGAAAATCATTTCGCCCGCGGACTTCACGGTGATTCTCCTCTCGAAAACTTTTCAATTCTGGAACATTTTAAATCGCGCACTGACCCTTCGTTCAATTTCTTTTTCAAACGAGGATTCGACGGTTAATCAGCCGATCGACGTTATCGGATCCTGAAGACAAGAGGTTCGATTCTGATATCGATGAACTGGTGAAATCGAGTTTTAAGCCTTAGCGATCCAGGATAATCCTCGAACCGAACGATTCAATAAGTAGAAAATTTCTATAAGGGCTTCCAAGACTCGCCGTCAGCTGAAAAATTTTGAACACGCGTTCGTGTAACTTTGAGCACAGACGATAGCTACTTTTCACTTTATCTCCTTTCGACGGAATGAAAATAAATTCTTTTCTCTTCCGTGAGAATCCACTATTGTTTCTTACTTATGACTCCTGGTTCGTCTTAAATAAACTCCAGATGCAGCTTAACTTTCGACTCACTTCTCGAAACGCCGCTCGATCAAAGATCGCTCTTTGATTCTTTCGGAAACGTGCTTGGTCCCTCGACAACTTTCATGCTTTATCGTGTTCCCATCATCGGTAGATAACACGTGTTCAATTACCGAGAACTTTGAGTACCTGCCAACAACGATTTCTTCCGTTCCCTGCTGTTTTCGCACACGCGCGCGCGACGTACGAAGCGCCTCGTGTTTCGAAAATTCGCTCCCTGTCCATCGAAATCTAATAAAGTTGCTTATTTAGCTAAGAAATAATAAGGAGCCTTTTCCTGACAGAAGGTATTTTTGCCCGAACCTTGCTGTTTACCCCTCGACCGCGTGCTAGGAATTCCGATGCGTTTCGTAGTCGCCACTTTTACACGCTTTTCCCTTTCTAAAATCGAATTTCCACGGGCTTCGAAAGGACACTTTGCGGGGACAAAGGGTCCGGACGGTGTTACAAAATATTCAAGGGTCGTTTTATTTTCTGACTGCGCAGGGTTCTTTGAACACGCTGCTCCGAAATTTGTTAGAGAACGCTCGATACACCGGGGATTGTGCTTTTTTTCTTTTTAAGCGAATGAAATAGATTGGAAAAGTGCCAAGTTAAGGGGACTTTGAAAGTTTTTGGAAATTCTTTTGTCGTGTCCATAAAAAGTTATCGATTGACTGGATTCGATTTGTGTACAGTCAATATTCTAGAACAGATGGGTGTGTACAGAGTGTCTCAAAGGAATATAAATCGCGAGTATTATCAAATTTTTGTAACAAGAAGAATGTGTAGTTCGAAAGGGTTACCTTTTGATGGAATTTCGATAACGCTGTCGCGCTAGAACGCTATTTTATTTTACGGAATAGCAATTTATATCTGCACAGTCGATGAACGTTTATCGAGATAGTTAAAGAATCGTGTCGCAAAGATGGTAAAAATATACGCGTAAAGAGAACGATGATCGATGTCTGGATCTTCGATAAACAGACTTGGTTTCTCACGAATGTTTGAAGAAAGTCGTGTTTGTCGATAAACAGCGAGACTGAGATTCCACGGCGAAGAGAATTGGCCGTGTCTCGCATTCGTCTTGGGTAGATCGTTGCTTATCTTGGCACCCATTGCGTTGACACGGGTTTAGACTGGTCACAGGGGTCGCAAACGATCATTCCAATGGCCCCCGGCTTAATCTGAATAATCCTCCCTCGTATATTCTCCCCTTGTTACATATATAACTCTTCTTTAATTCAAATTAGTTTGCGCAACGTCCGGATGATCTATGGGTAACGCGCCAAAACATGGAATTGTAGAAACATCGATGCGACGCAACGATCGCACGAATTATTAAAAATTATTCTGTTCGGTGCGTTATCGATATTTCCTCCGCTTCCTGAATTAATATTCTATGTAATTTAGTTCGGCATTGACCTTCCGAGACAATGAACGCGCGTTACGCGAGAGGACACGAATCGATTCTCGACGCGAGCGGTTTTGCGAATCCAAGTGCTGGCAAAAGGAGACAAATTACTCTGCAGCGGTGTAATCGAGAACAGCCGAGATAATCGAGCGCCTATGAATAGTCGGTAATTACGTCAAGTACGGGCGAACATCGAAATATGCTGGTGCACAGTGCACGGGGCTGTGTCACGGCTAACCAAGCCCTATTGCTTTCAGCCAACTTCGGATAATCCGGTCGGCGCCGCTTTGCCAACTAACGCGTCTCCTCCCTTTATCTGCTGCACCGACGATACTAACTCACGGCTTACGAGCGTTAACGAGCCTCACGAGATACACGCTGGCTCACCCCCGGGGGAACAATTATGATCGGGAGATGATCGATGTAATCGATGCGGTTCGATAACACGGCGTGCCCCGAATTCTTCCGAAGCTTAACTTTCTCGATCGACATATTCCAGCTTCCACGCTCAGAAAATTGCCCACATTTGTCCGAACCCGATACTCGATTCTTCTGTAGTTTATTAATTTTATTTCATCGAGAATGGATCGAGCTCGCAGAAAATATCAACGTTTCTCCTCGTTTTTCAGAAAAATCGATTGGCTGTGGATGCTTGTTTTCTACATATAACGAGTCGCGGGTGTAATTTACAGCTGATTAAGCATCGAGCTGTTTCTCACGCTCCAGAATCATTTTGCGCGTTTAGCTCGTGGAAAACCGTCGAACCATGAAACGTTAATTCACCGTTCTCTTTTTGTTTCCTTTCGTATATTTCGCGGCTGCCATTACGCGACAACGGGCAATGCGAGATAACTTATGATTCCTTGTCGCGGTGAAAAAAGAAAGAAACGAGAGAACGAAAGTACGGTTCCATTAAGCTCGAGCATCTTAGGTGCTCCATTAAGCTTGAAATTGGAACGCGCTGCGTAATGTTCCGTACGTATCGCGACCGTCTCCGTTGTCGTGTAACGATTCAGCTAATCGATAACGTTTACGTCCTCGGATAGGGCGAAAAAAGGCGTTGAGTGCAGCTCGAACCACGGTTACCCTCCGTCGTGTTTGTTCCTCCCGACGTTGCGAAATTATCGAATTCTTCTTCGTTACTCGAACGATTCTTGCAACGGTTACGTAACGAGACAGGCACGCAGGGATAGAAACGCTTTCCGAGTAACGAGGTATCGTCGGCATGAATCACGGTTAGCATAAAAATTTCGACGGCACTCGAATCGATTCGCTGAAAGGAGACAATTAATTTGAAAATTGTTCGAATGATCGCGTGGTTTCGTTCCACCTGACCCAATTTACCGCGTTCTCGAAATTAACATCCGCACAGAGTTCGCGATATAAATATCAGGCGGAGAATCGACCGCGATATAATCGAGGATTCGGTCTCTGAAAGCTAGGTACGTTATCATTTATGCCAATTAAGTTCGTTTCGCGTAATACGATGATATCGTCGTAACAAAGTGGTCATGCTCGTTTCGCGCGCGTTTGTTTTCTCTTTCGCCGTTTAATGCTTGTTCACGGGGATATTAAAGTACCGTGTTGGCAACGAGGAGGATGGCAGAACATCGGAAACGCGGTTAAGGCGCATTAGTATAAGGGGATTGCCGACAACGCACTGTTTTCTATCCTCTTGTCTATTTATTATCCGTACAATCTCATTCGTTGGTGCTTTCTGCACGGCTACTTTAATCGCGACGCTTGCCAGAAGTAACGAACGGTAATCTGGATTAACACGCCCGAGAAAAAATTTGTGTTCGCTGGCGGGATAAGTGACTGGACGTTTGAATAACTTCCGAAATTACGCTAAACGTTCCAACAAGATTCGCTTCGATTTCTCGACGTTGTACGCGACGAAAGGAATCGAGCGAACAAAGGTCCCGCGAGGAACAATTCGGAAATCGAAAGTTGCAATACTTCTTTATTTAGGCAGAAAACGAGCGAAGCGACGAGGAAGCGGAATATAAAAGCGAGAAGAAAAGAGAAGGGACGGGTAGGAAAATGTGAGGTGGCAACGGGTCTATCGTATTAGGGAGAAAAGTTTGATAATTATACGGTAAGCGGGTCGGGAAGTTCATACCGGAAGAGGAACCGCGCGAACGAAGGATGAAGGGAACTGCGAGTGTCGCGCTGGCGAAAGCGACTTGTCACCGTTGAAACGAACAGCCAAGAAGCTGCCGGGAGAGAGAAAAAGATAGAAGGGTCAAAAAGTAAGTTAGAGGGAAAGGAGGGCGGCAAGGCGAAGACATAATTAGCAAGTTTAACACGAGTCGCTGCCTCTCGAATCTCGTTACCGTCCCTGTCTGTCGCTTCTCGTTCGAACTGTGCGACCGAGGAACGGAATCGTTTCGAGACGAGATCACGAGCAGGAAAAAGAGCTCGTAGGAAACGAATAAACACGGAATAAGCATCGACAGGAAACTATTGTTCTCGGCAAAGTTTTCCGCTCGTGTTCGCTTAACGCGTACACCGTCTCAAAGTGGTAGTTCCATTTACAGAAATACATTGAAATTTGTCCGATACGTAAGCTCGATAAAAGCTTGTACCGATAAGATAAAACCGCGATACATTAGCATTCGAAAGAGAAGCCGATTTCAATTCGTATCGAACCGATAAAAGTAAGGTCGCGCGATTGTACGAGCGATCGCGATCGATGAAACGAAAAAGAAGTCGAATTACCTTGGTGAAGGTGAGGGTCGCTATCGGCGGTAGGCGAGGTAGATTCGGGTAATAAAAGCTTCCCGCGGGATGTGCCGGGTATCGCGAGGTGATCCTGTAGGCGATTCCTTGGGGTTGCGTTGGCCAGTTGGCAGCCGTGAATGTGAACCCGTTATCCGTTCCACCGTCCAACGGATCCAGCTGTGAAACACCGACGAAACAGAAGAGCGCGCAGTTAAGAGTCAGTCTTTTCAATAGGCGGACTAGATTTTAATGAGATGGGGAAAGCCACGTTTGGATCCATCGAATCCCTTGTAAAATGGAACGTGACCTATATGTATACCTACGCTTCCCACGATCAACGCTCCACCAATCTGTTCGTTTCTATTTCTTTTTCCACTTTTTTTCCCCGAGTAACTCTTTGCAACAGAAACTGCCTTTTGACTGCTTTAATGAATGAAAAATCGCTAATACGGCCTCGGTATGCTTCCTGAATAGCGAAAAGGATTTTCCATAGTGGGTCGAGCTTTTGTTCGATAGCCCAATTTCGACGCAGTGGAACGCAAAATTTCTTTCTTTCACTATTTTCTGTACGGTGTACGAACTGCTTCGAAAGATCGTCATTTTTTGAAATAGCTACGCGTTCAAATTGTCCTTCGGCTGTTTTGTAGTTTTTCCAAAGTATTTCTACCCACTATGGACTTTATTGTGAGAACGCGATCTTTCTTAGATGGGATAGAACGTCGAATAAAGGGCGAGACTCTGTATAGGAGGGAGTTAAACGGCGAATAAGTACCTCGACGGTGACCGTGTCGACCCAGTTGCCCTCGACACACAACTGAAACGAATCGACGCCCACGAACCAGTCAGGACTAGGATTGATACGAGCCATGATGCTTATCAGAGTGTGATTGCCGTCGAGAAACGCTCTGGCGATGCTGCTTCCTTCCCCTTGTGGCACGGGGGGCCCAGTGAACGAGTGAAGACTGTTGGGCGAGTCTCCGTCAGCGTCCAATCCATCCGTTCTTCCGGTCTCTACGTACAATCTCACCCCGGTGGATAGCCGTTCGCCCAGTCTGTACAGAGTGTACGTAGAGTCGTGTGTTCGACCTGTAAAACGACAATAAGAATTTTTTATTAGAATCGGTATCGCAAAGCTTCGTCGCGAATAGCTGCTGGTACATAAATCTCCACTCTGTATTTTCGCTCGTACCGTCCACGTATAAATATCTTGTACATATTTTTATATTACCCGTTCGAACAGAAATTTATCGAAATGCGGTGTATTTAGGCGGCTGCTTTGATTGGCATGGAATTAATTAACGAACCACGTGACGTAATTTGGATGTTGTTTGCATCGTTAATTCGACGTAGATCGTAAATTGGACGAGACGAATAGGGAAAGGTAACGCGCGACGGTCCAGACTATTTTTCCTCCGTTTTTTGTTTGAAATATATGGTCGGTCTGTAGCGAGCGTCGAGGATCAAGCCAAACGGGTCTAGGGGTTGTTAACGACCACCCTCTTTTGACGATGTCGTCGAATCCTACGCGAGACAGTAGATTTATAGTCAATAAACGTTATCTCCGGGTGAATCGTTGCTTCGCGTTTCAGCAACGTTTCACGAATATCGGTAAATTTACTAATTTTTAAACAATTACACGGTGCGCGTATCGGTAAACTGTGCGAGTCACCGAAGGAAATTAATTCCCTCTTTCTTCTTGTCGAATCGATAAATAATAAAACAGCTTCGTCGGAAAAATACTACGTTCGTCCGAGCGTTTCGCGTATCAGATTTTGCAAGTTATTTCTGTCGCTGTTTCAAGGAAATTGCAAAACGATCGATGAAAATCATTCGGAAAGACGATTCGATTTAAGAGGGGCAGCGAGTGAAAGAAAGATCACCGCAAGGCGAAGATTCTCTCGGTTCGTTCATCATCACCGTATAAAGTTTCCAACCCCTCGAATTCGTATCCGCGGATAAAATAAGATAACAGCACATATCGTAAAGCACAATAAAATATAAAAGTCGCGTTCGGAACGCGGAGCACGTAGCTTCTTCGTAGAACTCGTGCGCGAAAACAGGAAGACGTTTCTCATCTTCGGGTAAGATTTCGGGTCATGGACAGCTATAAGTTTGCGTTTTATCAAGAATTCGACAACGTGGGTATAAACGATAACATTCCTGGAATTCTGAGGATGGTTTAGCAAAATGTATCTCTCTTTCCTCGGGATCGCGTGTCGTTTTAGGAATTTAACGTCGACTTTCTCCACTCCGAATATTAATATCGGCTTCGTTCGTAATCGGGGCTTGGGGATTTCATTTGGTCGATCATCTTTAAAATATTAAAAATTTAATCAACGGAAATTACATCGGAAAGCGTAGAATATTATTACGATAAAATTTATATTTCACGTTTCACTCTTATCGAAAGTAATCAAATTTTCTCTAATTTCCAATGGAATATTCAGCATCGCCAGTTATAATTCCTTCGCGTTTAAAAGAACGATTAAACGCGTTAGGCCGGAGGAATCATTCGTTGACAGACGTTCGAGACGAGCTTCTAAATTCGTGGAAATAAAGAAGAAAATAGGGTCGTTTGTCAAAGGGACAAGGTTGTTTCCACGCGTGTTATGTGCCACCGGTGATAGATTATGTTCCAAGATATTATGTCTCTTGGAATGATATCCGCGTGCCGGTGACTGCTTCTTTTTAATTTTCTAACGTAGCCTACTGCATTATTTAAATACGATAACTCCTATTGTTTGTTACTAAAACGACTCTATCCAGCGCGTACATATACATATCATCAAAGAAAGTTTGAACGAATAAATAAGCGTAAGAAGAATCTGGAATCGTAATATCTGTCACTGACCGTAAACTACGAGAAGGTAGTTGATAAACATCCCCAAAGCTGGCAGTTCACTGTTCGAGGTATAAAGTTGATTCAGGGCGCTCGTAGAATGCATAACAATGGAAGCAAAGAATGGCGTGGTCGATTCGAACGAAGACGAATGATCCGTGGCCTGGAAAGTCTCTCTGGACGATTTGTCAGGGCGAGTTTCGTTGTTCCCGGTTCTCGATATCGATGCTGGCGAAAACGAAAGGTCGTGGAACGGTGTACGCGCGCACCGAGTATACGGCAACTAATTAAAAAGGACCCGTATTGTCGGGGAGTAGCATTGTTCGAGGCAGATCGAGGAATTCCTTCGAGCCAAACGGTGAAAGCAGCTTTGTTCTTGGTCGAAAGCTGATGGATTTGAAGGGAAAAGGCGCGGACCAGGTGCACCGTAGGTTGCGGCTCTTTTCAATTCAAAACGTCGCGTCGTTCGGTGAGCTTAATCAAATTTCTTACTTCGAGGCCACCAGGCTTTTTCAGGCCTCGCCGCTGAATAATTCGACGCGATTCGACCCGGGTTACCTCGATAAAAATTTTAAAAGACGATCGAGGTTAACGTCGATCGGTAAAAGATTGCTCGCGCGAGATTTAGAACGATCGTTTTCGCAGCGTTTAGAATTTGCTTCATCGAAATTACTGGTTGTTTCGATCCACGTAAGCGAGTGTAAAGCAACCCGCAGAAGATGTCAAGTTCCTCTGTACCCTTCGAATCCCTTTTCCATACCGAGTCCATTCTGTGCGGGCCACTTCCCCCCAGGGCGGTTTTCGCTAATTTTGCAACTAATTAAGTCTCTCTGGAACTCGATAGGATTAGGGGTGGCAACGTGTGCGACGGAAAGGCCAGCTGGTTCACCCTTTGAAAAGAGAATTTCACGAGTCAGACGGAGAAACCGCAGTATCGTTTAGTCGGACAGCCGGACAAATTGAAAACTCAACCAGAGCTTCCACGCCATTTAGCTCGAGTCTCTTTTGATAAAAATTATCGCTTAAGCTCTAGTGGATTTATTTCGAAATTTTTGAATCTCCCGATGTTTCGCCAAAATGTCGACAATACCGTGATTCTAATAATTTCTTAGTCGTTGACAGAATTGAAAAGTTGGGAAGAACCTTGCGCATAAATGAACTCTTTCGTTTACTTAATCGTTAGTTCGTGTAGACATCTATCATCGAGTTAACTTTCGCAGACGGTAGCGAGTGAAATTTTCATGTCCCTTATGAATGGAGATCCGTTGAATAATTAACGAGTAGCAGAATTGGCTAGTTAACTGGGTAATCGATACGCTGAACTTTGCACGAAAAGCGATTAGTTGGACCTCGTAGACGTCGTCGAGCTGATTAATCGAATATTCAAGCGTGAATGAATGGAATCTGTACGATAACTCAAGGAAGCTTGTAACGATATTATCGCGTCAACATCGTCGAAAACTATCGGAACGAAACTTTTCCTTCTAATTCTCTATCCTCCGAAACGATGGCGTGATAAGTAAAAACAAATTGTCTCCGGGAATCCTCGAGGATCTGCAAAATCCGCGAAGCGAAATGAACGGAGAGAAGCGTATGTCAAAGTCTGAGGCATCTGGAGTTGAGAATCTCCGTAGTCGGTGATATCCAACTTGATGGAAGTTTCGAAACAAGTCGAGCCCAAGTTGGCGCGACCGCGAATCGTCTATGTATACCACGTGCAGCTGCAGCTGCACGCCTAGCTTCCCGCGTCTTGGACGTGGCAGCAGTCGCTTGGAACGCGACCGAGCAACCGAGACGTGTTCCCGGAGAGTGGATAACCCAATTTCCCCGGCTCCTGCGACGAGATGGTGCTTGTTTCGCGCCATCGTATATACGTCGTACCGCAATCCTTTGATCGTTTCACCCTTCTTTCTTCTCTCGCCATAATTCGACCGCTATTCGCGATATCTAGAATATTGCTTCTCGAATCCTACAATTCGACCATTGACGATGAGTTCTTTCGACGGTAATTCACGCGTCGACGGACGTCAATTTGTCGAACGAACGAAGATAGACTAGCGACACTTTGTCGAATTTGAAAGGCAAAGAGGATCCAGGTTGACCTTCGTCGAACAGGAATCCCCTAGGATTAGGAGCATCGTCGAGAGAGGAAATGAAAATTCACTTGGCCAGATTCCACGGAAACGAGCGATTATTGGACAAGCAACCGAACGGTTCGTCACGGGGGGGCAGAGGATCGATGGATTTCCTGGAGCCGAGGGGTCGCAACGAGATATAATTGGATTACTAATGAATTTATCGGAAACGGCAATTAGTTTGCATCGAAACGGCACGATCGATATTGCCTATCGAGGAAAAACAAACTTGGACACGCGCCGGCTACTGCTCTCCTCGACTTCTGCTATAAATACGCTTCGTATCCGTTTAAGAATTTTTATATCCCATCACGGGTAAAGTCTTTCGATAACCCACGACGTTCGCGTATATGTATAATATACATATAAGATGCATATCCGATACGAAAAATACAGTTTTTTTTTATTCTCCGACGCAAAAATGATACTGTTCCACCCCTGATGAAACAATGTTCGTGCCTAGACTTTGAAAACAACACTGACCCTTCGATTGTAAAGCAACCCTCAGACTCTCCCTATTTTTCGCTTCGGACACCATCGAGGACTCCCTCTTTTCTTTATCCTTCCCGGGCATACCTATCATTCCCGTTTAGCCCCGAACATCGTCCGACCGTTCTCCCCTCTCGCGGCTGAAAAGTACAAAAAATAAGTTGAAAGTTCGATAACGCGTTCGGAAGAGGAATGATTTCGGATATTAATCGCGCTAAATCGGATGCAAACGAAGAGATTGCATCGGTACGCGTATGTTTGAAAACTCGCTTCGTAAACAGCCGACAGGCATATGTAAATAGGGATGGAACCGCGAGGAGATAGGCAATGTGACGTTACAATGAAGTATTAACGCACGCTGACCGCAAACATCGGCAAACAGTCTACTAAAGAGGGACGATTCCGTTCGCGTTCGAAAACATCAACGAAACGCGGAGTAACACAGCTACCAGACTGTTGGATTTATTGGGAACAATAACTAATTTGCTGTAAAGCCACATAAATTATGAACGCTCCCGACTCTCCATTATAGCAGATTCGATCCTCCCTCGCTTGTTTTGCACCCTTCCTGCACTGTCCGCGTTTCTACCTCTTCCTATTTATGTCGTCTTGCTTCGTATCGG